CAGTTGAGGATTAATTTATACTTGTTCTTGCTGTGCTAAGTGTTATCATAGAATCAACTGGGTTGGAAAAGATCTCTGACATCATCAAGTCCAACCCTTGATCCAACACCACCATGGTTACTATTCCATGGCACTAAGTGCCACATCCAGTCTCATCTTAAAAACCTCCAGGGACAGTGAATCCACCACCTCCCTGAGCAGCCCATTCCAGTGCCTGATTACTCTCTCTGTAAAAGATTTTTTCCTAGTATTCAACCTAAACCTCCCCTGGCACAGCTTAAGCTTATCTTTTAAAACTTATGGCTTTCACCTATGGGCTTCAGCACAGGAAATGTTACATGCAGAATATGGGGAAATTAATTTGTTTTGAGAAAAGTACTTGCATTTCAGGTTTTTTGAGCTTGAGTCCTATACAGATACAAACCCAGTTACAATTACTGATTTTCTGATTTCAGCTTATTTGATATGTATATTGTTCACCTATTTAATATTTGGCTTGTCTGGAGTTCATGTATTAAATACAATATACTGATTATTTGGTGTGAAGTTCTTCTCCACATCATTTTTCCTTCACTTTCTAAATTCTCATAACCATGCAATGTTTTCTCTCTAGGTAAGAAATGTACTGAAACTTTTAGAGCATCCATTCCAAGAAGCAGAAGGTTTCAGGGAGGTAAAGGAAGATGCAGAAGAGGAGGGAGCAACTGCCACAGGAGCTGCTTGTGCTGAAGAGACCAGAAGCAGACTACCATATTGCAGCAAACCTCCACTTTGGGCTTCAGAGCTGTGCGTTACATGATCTTCATAACTGCCTTGTTTTGTTTTTTGCTGTAAACTGAAGACTCTGATCCTCCTTCAGCAGTGAAGAATTCAGCAAGGCAAATATCAAAGTGCTATTAAGTTATTGAAGCAACCCTACATTTGGATGCATCTGCAGCACTCTTCATCTGTGCTTAATTTGAAGCAATTGTTGATCAGCGGAACAAACCAATGACAATTAACAGTTCCTATACATCAGTAATCTCAGTGTTTTGAGGCTGAAAGTATTTCCTTTATCCATACTACATCACAAGTGTAAAGCAATATTTTATGCTGAGGCAGGCTGAATTTTGAACATCCAAATGCAGTTGTTGTTATGTGAAGACAAAAATAGCAAGACAGGAATCTGATCTGTTTTTGTCCGATGTCTTAACTAATAGTACTTCTAATATTTATTTACTGCTTTCTCTATACAGGAACTTCTAGTCTTCTTTAATGGAGGAACAAATTCAGTGTTGCTTATTTGAAGCTATGTTTCATTTAATTAAGTAGTTCATTTCTTGTGAACCTTCAGATTGGTATTTAATCATTATCTATTTTCAGAGAGTTTGTGCAGGGCAGGCTCAAGTTTGGGGGGAGGAATCAAATTTTTTTTAAGAGCAGAATTAAGGGAGTTTATATACATTTGCACTTGAAAACTTGGTGGTGAAGTTTATTCAGGCTCAGGATGTTGCATACAACATGTGTAAATATTTACTAAACTCATGAGTGCAGTTTGTAAGCCAGTTGCCTCGGGCAGGATCCATTAGCCAAATTAGTGAACCTTAAACTACCCCAGCACTCAAATCCATGTTCACTGTGTATTTTTTTCTGTGCTTCTAAGTCTCGCTGTATGAGAAGCGTGTATGTGGGGTGCCTGCTCATCACACTGGTCAGTGGGGTTGTTCCATTCCCAGTCTGGTCTTGCACCATTTAGTTTACTTACATGGTCTTTGAAAAATCTTTAAGTTTGAAGTTGCCATTCAGAAATGTGCTATTTGAACTTGTGTGAAAGATGATGGAGGATGTGGGAGGAGAACAGGAGCTGACTTGCTTGCGGGTTACTTATTGGTAACGTTTCTGTTGAGGTTTCAGGGGAAAGTTGGTTGCCATTATTGCCACATTAGCAAAAGAGAGTTGTTCTGTAATCAGTTGTTACTTACCTTTCTGAACTTCTTTCTAAAAGGCTGTGTTACTGGTTCAGATACCTGCAAAGTTTGTTTTAATGCAAAGGCTTCTCTTTTCCAAAGAGACCACTATCTTACACTGTGATTTATGTGTATTTAAGTAAATTCTTCCACTACTCCTGTGCAAGCTTGGTATTAGCTCAGGTAGAATTGTGCTCTTTTAAGTCTTCCTCAATACGAGCTGTTGAAAAACAGGAAGAACAGTTGGACTGCTGCTTATCTGTCTGTACTAATAATCAGTTTGTCCTCCTTAGTGCTGCAGTACACAGACTATGTTTTGAATGTAAACATTCACTCTGTCCTGCCTTTAAGCTGAAGAAACTGATTTGTGACAAACTAGAATCTCTGACAAGTACAGCACTTTCTGTGAGGTTTTGGAGTTCTTGCAGAAAAGGACAAAATAAAGGTGTATTTACATAGCCCATGGAAGAATGGTGCAGTTGAAAGAGGAAGCACCTCGAAGAAGTAGGCAGCAACTAATGCCAGCCAGTGCAGCTGATCATCTTCTAGGAATAATGCATTTTTGTGGGAGTTTGAGACTTTTATTGAGGATTAGCCTTCCTCTAAACTTGGGGTACTGGAATCAAACCATTTAATGGAAACTTCTAGCAGAAAGTGAGGGCTGGTTAAAAAGGACTGCACCAGAGAGGGAAAGTGTGCCAGCAGTTTGAAAGAGGCTTCAAACATTTCCCTGCGGAATCAGTGGTCTCTTATGGTGTGCCTGGTCTAGAAGGGGAGTAATGGAGTGGGGAGAAGTTGCTCCAAGCTGATTGACATAACTGCTGATTTTGCTTCTCAGTTTACGTCCTTCCTTGTGGGAAGCAAAGGGGAACAGAGTTTTAGAGGAGCTCTGTCCAAGCTTTTGGCTTAACAGAATGGTCTAACATGTAATGATCCTTAACCATACCTAAGGGATCAAGTCTTTTTAATGGCATCCTGATAATAATTTAGGGACATTGAGTAGATCTGTATTAATAGCGGTATGGAGAAGGAGAACAATATTATAACTCTGTGTTTGAACATAGGAGAATTTTAATTAACTAGCAAATTGTTGTCACCTATAATGCCAAAATCATGGAGATACTTTGAAATAACTTACTAGTAATGTTATCCTTAAAAAGGAAAATGAATACTACAGTGAGAAACAAAAATGTGGTGGTGTTTGCTGTTCAATAGATTTTTGCTTACATGTAGATCAAGATCTACATGTAGATTCTTTGCTTACATGCAAGAGGTCTAGCAAGATTGGAATGCTGAATGCAGTACTCTGGTGTGGCTGCTTTGGTGTGCCACTCACTAAAGTTGTATTTGTCATAAGATGTTCACCAACAGAAAGAAATATGGAGTGTATTCACATAGTCTAACTGCACTGACATCCAACTGCTCAGTTTCCCAGTGCATGCAATAACATCAGTGCTTTGTATTTGAAGAAGTGTGATGATCTGAAGCCAAGTGGAATGCTTGTGCTCTTCCAGCACTCTCATTTCAGAAGGCAGGTCATAGTTTCATCTCTGATGATAGTTTCTTCTGTTCTTGTTCCTGGAGCAGTGTGGAAGCAGGAGGTTGTTCAGGACAATTAGACCAAATTTTGTCCAGGTAAGATCAGTTCTTCAGAGAGAAGGGAACACAGCTTATAGCATTTGAGAGTCTAAATACTTTAATCATAAATTGCTTTTTTATTTTTACAGCTTGTATTTGCAATAGGTAGACCTGAAAATTATATTTCTTACTGGTCAAATATTCTGCTTGTATAAAAGCCATGGAGTTTGACAGGTGCACTGTTTGCTGGGTTAAGAACTGGCTGGACGGCAGGGCCCAGAGAGTGGTGATGAATGGTGGTTGACAGCAGGCTGAACATGAGCCAGCAGTGTGCTCAGGTGGCCAAGAAGGCCAATGGCATCCTGACCTGTGTCAGGAACAGTGTGGCCAGCAGGACAAGAGAAGGGATTCTTCCCCCATACTCAGCACTAGTTTGGCTGCACCTCAGGTACTGGGTTCAGTTCTGGGCCCCTCGGTTCAGGAAGGGTGTTGAGGTGCTGGAGAGTATCCAAAGAAGGGCAATGAGGCTGGTGAAGGGACTGGAGCACAAGTCCTATGAGGAGTGGCTGTGGGAGCTTTTGTTTAGCCTGGAGAGGAGGAGGCTCAGGGGAGACCTCATCACTCTACAGCCATCTGAAAGGAGGTTGCAGCCAGGTGTGTGTTGGTCTGTTCTCCCAGGCAACCAGCGACGGGACAAGAGGGCACAGTTTTAAGCTGCTCCAGGGGAGTTTAGGTTGGACATTAGGGAGAAGTTCTTCACAGAAAGAGCAATTGGGCATTGGAATGGTCTGCCTAGGGAGGTGGTAGAGTCACCATCCCTGGAGGTCTTTAAGAAAAGACTGGATGTGGCACTTAATGCCATGGTCTAGTTGACAAGGTGGTGTTAGGTCATAGATTGGACTAAATGATCTTTTCCAACCTAGTTGATTCTGTGATTCTGAGCTGTGCTCAAAATGAAGTGGTGACTCTTCTTATCAACAGCTTTCTGTGGAAATACTTGATTTAGACTCAGCCTGTGGCTATACATCCTGAACTTGCATAAAAGCAAGTGGTACCCAGATTGCAAAACTGAAATGAGAACCTCTTGGAGATGTGTCTCTGGATAGTCTTGTGTGGTAGTGGCGACTCCTCTCATGACTTGATAAGATTTCACTGTAACTCTGCTTCCTGAGCTTGTGAATCTACAATTGCGGAATGTTTTACTGTCAGCTCTTACTTAGGATGTTTTGTGGGTTGTTTTGGGGTTTGGTTTTTTTGTTTGTTTGTGGGGTTTTTTTCCCCAATAAGTGCTACAGATTTGATTCTTTTATTAAAAATAATAAAACTTGCAATTTTAATATTCTTGTTTATGCCTATTTCCCGAAACAGTTTTGCTGTTAACCATACTGTTTGCCAACTTCATTTCTTTAGAAGTTTTTGCTCTGTTAGTATCAGATGGCCAGGTCATATCACAGAAACCTCACTTTATATTTTTTCAGTGTTTTTTGAGGAGTGAACTCACAGGTTTCCTGCCTTGCCAGCTATTTTGGTGATATGCTTGAAGCAAGGTAAGGGCCCTCACATTTTTCAAAGGGAAACCTCCCTCCCACTTCCTTGGCCATGAGACCTGTGCTGACACCTCTTTTATTCTTCCTTATGTCACTGGAATTAAATGCATCAGCTGATGTCAGCAGATTCAGGATGGGATTTTAACTCTGCTCACAGAAATAGGCCTTTGGGTGGAAAGTAAAGTTGTATTTTGTTTATTAGTTTATTTAATAAAACCAAATTATTTAAACACACATGTGGATCCTTGGGGTGCTTCAGCTGGGGTAAATCTCTGCACTCCAAAATATCTGTTGAACAGACTGGTTTCTGGTATTCTGCATTTGAATTTGTCTGTGATGGAAGTGGGTTTAGGCCAAACCTGCTGCTTGTGCCTTTGCATGGAGTGCATCCAGACATGGTCCACTGAAAGAGCAAATTCAGGCCTTGGTTATCCTGAATTTACTTTGTCAGCTCAATTCTTCACATATTTGACTGTGTATCTCCCTCCAGACAGCACCCTTCATCAGGTCACACACTGCCACATGCTCTGGCTGCTCACTTGTGCTCAGTAATGTCCAGGCAGCCCCAATGCCCCTCCATAGCTGATCCTTCAGCATTGTTAACATAGGTGGGTGGGACTTGGGCAGCTTTACCTCTGACCAGAGTCGATGAGACAGGTGGAGGCAGTAACATGCACTTACCCCTCCAGAGCCGGGTGACAGCTGGGGGTAATGGATGTGAATCCAATAGGAGGGTTTCAGGATGCTGTCACATCCAGTGTAAGATCACGGTTATGGGTGAGTTCTAAATAATGCAGCCACTACCTCTGTTACATCTTTTAACTTGACTTTGTTCTTCCTGCATTTACAGTGGGACATTTTTGTGTGCAGTGACATTTCTCAGTTCCTCTCAACTGTATAAAAATGTTGTATTCAATCCCCCCACCTTCCCTTAACACTTCTGTTTTCCCTCATTCCCAAATCAGCCATGGAACTGAAGGATGGAGCTTCCCTGTGTCAGGGCAGGTACCATGGCATATAGATCAAAGGACATGAGGGGCAGTGATAAAGCTCCAGACACACTAGTATAGACTCTACCTTCTTCTGTTCATGCAGTTCTTGCAGCAGATGCATAATTAATAGGGGAGCAGAAATGCAAAGGGAACAGACAGGCTTATCTGTCTCTCCAAGGCATGCAAAAAATCTGAAGCTCCCTGCTGCTCTTCTCCTCCCCTGCTGCTGTTTTGGCTGGGCAAGGACAGTGCTGCAGCACTGCAGAGCTCTTGCTGAGCATGCACCTTCAGCAGGTAAACCTAGAGGTGAGATTTAATGATACTTCGGGCACGTATAAACAGAAAACATTTTTTTTGTAGACAAAGCTGACTTACAAAGCTTACTTCATGGGTTTTCTATTCTGGAGTCAATTTAGAAGTTGGCATTTTTATACAGTAGAACATTAGATCGTTGCATTGTTAAGTAGCATTTCCTCTTTTTTTTTTTTTTAAGTGGCACAAAGAAAGATGGATACTATTACCACATTTTCAGGTGGAAAATCTAAAGCACCAAGAGATTAGGTGATTTTGGTGAAGACAGCAAAGCCGTGCTGGCTCCCAGGCCTGGCTGGTGACTGAACAGGTTTTCCATGCCCTGAGCAGCAGGCTGTGGTGTGGTCCATCAGCTGCACACAGAAATGAAAAGGACCTGGGCTGACACTGTGGGCAGTGATGAGGATCAGTAATAGGCAGCTTCTACCTCCTCAGCTTGTCAGACAGGAAACCTCCCATCTGAAATGCTCTTGCCCTGAGTTAATTCAGCACCAGGACTGGCATTACCATGCTCCTCTTAAGTAAACTGTGGCTTTTCTCCTCTGTTCCTTTTGCAGCCAGAAAACAAAAGGTGATCCATTCCACCTGTATTTAGGAGTTACCAGTGCCGAGGTGTGGATGAGAATTCTGATTTGTAGATGATTTTCACTCCCCTGCACTCAAAAGTTTTACTGTGCAGAAAAGCCAAGAGCTAATACAACCACTTCTATATGAAGTGCTCATATAACACCACAAAAGTTGCAGATACGCATTAGTTTTTCTAGTTTGAGGACATTCTTGGTATTTCTTAACTGCCCTTTCTAAACAAGCAGTATTTTCCAAATCAAAGTTAATTTTCCGTTGTGCAGTGTCTGGACAGGACAGAGTTAATCTTCTTCCTAGCAGGCTGTTACAGAGCTGTGTTTTGGATTTGCAGCTAAACCAGCCGTGTTTTGGTTGTTGATGAACCCTGTTTGCACAGTGTCAAGGCTGTCTCTTCCCTCCCTCAGCCCCTGCCCAGGAGGCAGGCCAGTGGCTGGGAGGGGACACAACCTGAGCTGGCCAAAGGGCTAATCCATGCCCTATAGCATCGTGCTTGGCAATGCAAATGGGGAGTGGGGGGGGGTATGTGTCTTAATTTCCATACTTTGCTCTCATTTTTTTCTTGAAGACTTTTGTCTCTAAAGAAGGAGATCATCCCTCTAAGATTGCACCTAAAAGTCCTAACTTTGCAGTATTCATCAGGGCTTGCATTTGAGAAGTTTTTAGCTATTACTAATCTTGCCCTTCTTTTTCTTCACTGGGGAGCACTCCTTCAGAAGTCAAGGGAGAAAAGGCTGCTCCTCTTGTGTAATTGTACCAGGACTTTTAATTTAGGTGCTCTGAATCCCTTTTTCTCTCTTCCCTCTTGCTTACCCTCTCTTGGCTGCCCATGTCAGTGGCCAGGTAAGGCCTTCAGGCATTTTGAAGAGCTGACTGCAGGTATGTGTGCTGTTCCTCCAGGAGTTACATGGGAAAGATAAAACTTTGTCTTTCTACAATTGCAGTGCAGTGCCAAGCTCCAAAGTCTCAAACACCAGATACTGCTCCCCACAGAAGCTGTGTGGCTGCTCTCTACTGGGAAGTCTAGGTGCTTCACGACAAGATATCAGTCTGCACCAGAAGGTACACACACACCCAGTCCTACAAATTCCCAAAATAGCTCTCTGCCTGCCCAGGCAACAAAATAGCTCAGTCTGCAAGCCACTTGCTCTTTCAATCCCCTGTTCTGCAGAACAGAAAGCAGCTAGTCAATTAAATACATCACAGATAAACAGCACAGAAGATGTATGTCACGACTATGCATTACCACATTTTTACACTGACTTTGGAATCAGAGCAGGAGCAGAAACACTCAGGTCAACTTCATCATTGGTATGTGAAGTCAACTTCGCTCTAATGCTTATTTCTATTCCAGAAAAAAAAATCATAAAACTACCTATACATCATCAGAAAATAATCTTATTCAATATTCCATGGTATTGTTAACTTGCCAGCCAGGCCTGTACCTTTAAATAAGTGTTCCCTAATCAGACGAACAGCTCCTGATGAATATATCCACATTTTAAGCAACTGTGACTCCAGGATCTCAAAATCAACACATTTCAAAGCTGACTGCCTCTCTAAAACATTCTCATACCATGAAGTTGAAAGTTCAGTTGTTTCTTTTCACAATACAGAAAAAAAAAAGAAGGAAAAGGATAATTATTAGCAAATTGAAAATGTGATCCTTCAGTTGAAAGCAGTAGCTGGAATATATTGGGAATTACAGTTTTGTTTTGCTTTAGTGATGCTGAATTTCTGTTTTAGGTGTTTTACATAATCACCACAAAATAAGATGCACTGCTTAAATTAGGTATAAAGAAGCTAAATTTGGCACAAGTTATCCAACAATTACCAAGTGCAGTTTTAGAAAGTATCTGTTAATTTATTTCATATACATGTATTTACATTCAAGGAAATTCACACCACTGAAAATACAACATTTACACATTCACAGATATACAGTTTTGCACTCTCTCCTGTGTTAAGATCAGGCATTCAGCTTTTCTCTCTCTGCAATAATGACAACATCAATTTTCAGCAGATCAAACAACTGGCAGGTTTGGTGGATTTTAAGCATCATCATGCTCTGTATGTGGTGGTTATTTTCTTCATGCTATTAGATGGTGGGTTATTTCACTGAAGAAAAATGCCCCTTGCATGGCATTTGCATAAGCTTCTACAAATCATAAGCATATATATTTTTTTTCTGTTTTACTATGTTATCAGTGATCCTTACTCTATATACAGTTCAGTTATCCTTGTAGTAGTTATTAAAGTTGATTCGCAGCAGAAAGTCCTCCAGATGGGGTTGGTATCCTCTATTTACAAGCTTTGTTACCACTGGAAGAAAAACAAAAAGAATAAGCTTCAACTAAGCTTAATATTCTAAAGTCAGCCTTGACATTAATTAAATGTGCCTTTAATTAAAAAAAAAAGCCTAATGCAGAAATCTGAGGACAATAAAAACAAATGTACATTTCAACGTAAGTCCAGTATCTCTTTCTAGAATTATAAACTATTTCAAAAAAGATGCAAAAGAAACACTATGTGTCAGTTCTAAGTGAAAGTGTATTATTCTAATAAAGCGTTTCCTTATCAAGTTGCATTCACAGAAACATAGAGATCATAGAATCTTTCACAGTTAGGTGGTATGTTCTTATCATAATTTCAACTGACCAGGAAGTATGTTTAGGTCGTCTGGTGACCTCTGTGAAAGAAGTAGCTCTGCTGAAGTTTTCTTGAGCAAAGTCCATTGTGAGAGAGAAAACCAAAGAGAAATTCCTAGGACAAACTCCTCAGGCGCTATGAATGAACAAACTGACTGCTCTAAACATCCTTACATCTAAACATTACAAAGGAAAAAAGCCAATAGAAACTCCCTGAGCTCACAAATATCCCATGCACTAATATAAAGGGAATTAGCAAGCAGCAGGAGCATGCAAGGAAGAAGGGAAAGTGTATTGTTAGAAGTTAGGGCCAGAGCCAAAGCCATTGAAGTCCAGACAACTTTGTATTGGCTTTCAATGGATTCTGGATCAACCCATTGTGGAAAGAGAACATTTTACAATACATGGTGACTGAAGGTACAAGTGGAGATGAACAAGCACACATTTGCTTTGTAGTGCTTAATAATGAGGGTGTAAAGAACTGGGTCACTCATCGAATTTCCTTACGGAATGGTCTATTAATCTCTGTCCATGAAGCAACCATAGATCTCGTAGTATGGGCTTAGGCGGCTCCCAGAGGTGTTCTGACTTCCTGTAGAATTTGGAAGCAGCCATTCTAACTCATCCTGAAATATCTGTTTTTGGTCCTTTGACACCATTTTTGGACACCCTTAAAGAATAAAAAGGGCAGCTCATTTCCTGAAGAATATAGTCTGACTAGAAAATATTCTAGAAAAATAGATCTAAGAAAAACAGTTGCATCTCCTTCAGGAATTCGGGATTTTCTAAAAAAAGGAACCCAAACCCCAAACCTTTGTACTAGAGGAATTATAAGGAACTTGTACTAAAAACAAAAGCAAGATCTGAAAGAGAAATGGAGAGGAAAGACAGGTAACCATTGCTTCACACTACAGCCTAAGCCAACAGTGAGATAAAATTTTATCATGTTAAAGGAAAGTACATTTGGCAAATGATCTGTGTAGCTGAAAAACACTTGCCTGGAGCGCTGGCTTTAAGCTCCAACTAGTGCTAGGAGGCTCTAGTTCAACATGGGAATCAGAATTTTCAAATCTCATACCCATGGTAACATTCAACTAGTGCATATATATCTAAAATTACTTCTAAGTGGTATCTACCTATCTCTCATTGCTGCCAATAAAAATGTAGGCACATATATAGAGCTAAATACCAAATTCTTATTTTGTAAATTAAGTTTAGCAAAAACTTACAGACAGTTTTGGGATATCTGTTAGATTTCTTTTGTGGACATTTTAACTAATGGATATACAGATCTTTGCAAACCACAATAACGCAGTTTTCATTTGGGAATTACATTTTCTAACACTAAGTACACACATCTTCCTACTTTTATGTTATACTACCAAAATATCTTTGTAATTTTTTCAGTTATCAGTTATTTTTTCTTCTATCTAAAATTTATGCAATTTCTCACCTTTGAATAAGAAGTGAGAGTAATACTTGAAGGTATTGTATGACTGCTGCATCAGACCAAAGTTGGGATGAACAGCCATTTGCTTCCCTGCATCGAAGCTCCATGACTGAGAGATGAGCTGGCTGCGGAACTTCAAAATAAGGCTGAAGATGCTGTGTATGATGTTCATCACAGGGGCTGCCTTCTCTGTCAACAGACCCCTAAGAGAAAACAAAAACAACTTTAGAAATTAGTTGACATAATTTACTGGTTGTAAGACTAAAAATACAAAGGGATGACAATCCTCTAGTTTAAAGGTAATTGCTTGAAAAAAATCCACAAGACTGCAGCCAACTGTAATGGGGATTTTAAAGGAGGTGCCTAAAACTAACATAATTTGCTTGCACTTCCAAGAAACTGATATTTGCCCCAGTGTATCTGATTTCTAGAATTACATCTGTATTTGCAAAAGAGATGACATTTAAAAACATAATGCTCTTGGTCTCTTTAAACTTTAATCCCCTTTCATTCCACCCCCTGGTATCCAAACAGCAGCTCTAACAAGTTGTTTCTGATTAAAACCGAAAGAGACATGAGAGATTTCTTCTAGTTTATAATTTCTGTTCTTTATCATCTCTTCTCCCTCCATATCACCACTTTATCATTCCAGTGTATACTCTTCAAGAAGAAACCAAATAAACTCTAGGCTTCTTTCCTCTTGTTCACACCACCCCTCTGCTCATATACAGTAACCAAGGAGCTAAAAGCTTGTGATTCCTGAAAGACAGGTGTCTCTTGCACTGCTCATAAATGTAGACAGAGGCATCCTTTTGTCCCTTCAAAGCCCAGCCCTGGTCACTGCACATATATTAAAGGCACATAAAAGGTACAGGAGAAGCATTTTACATCCTCCAGCAAGGCTTACTTGTGCACACTACTCATGCTGAATGGAAGAGCAGTAATTTACAAAGGTATGACAAGGATGGGCTGAAAGAAAAACAGAACTGTGGCAAGAGCCTTAGTTTAGAGCTCTTAGGACAGAGCTGTCCTGAGTAGAATGGAAACTTCTTGAGGCACAGTGAACAGGAGCAGGAGGTAACTCAAGGAGTCCAGGGAAATGAAAACAATGGATAGATGAGGAGAAGCATCAAAGTATAGACCTCACAACATGCCATGAAGTTTGTTTTCCTTACATAAAAACACTTTCATATGTAAAGACTACTTAATGTGTCAGGTAGAAGTCAGTTCTGCACAAATACATTAGGCTAGAACTGGCCACTCCATTAACTTAAATATTTGAAGTAAAAATAAGAATGGTTGCTTGCCTGAAGATTGCTTTGTTGAGGTATTCAGCATGTGTTCTGTGAATTTCTTCCAGGTTGCCCACAGAAGACAGTTTGTTTCCAAATTCGCACCATGTAACATGAAGAATCTGATTAGCAATGTAACCTTGAATAACTTTCACAAAATGCTGCATTTCATGCTTATACAGCTGGAGCTGTCGAAACTGAACAGAATTTGATGCGTGACTCACTAAAGCTGAAAATAAAATCAGAAATACATTATCATCAGCATCCACAGACACCATCTAAAACCAGGATTTTTAAAGTAATGAAGGTTTCTGTTAGTAGAGTCTGTCTAAAATGCCAAGGAAGATTCTTAAAGAAATCGTGGCTTTTGAAGCTTGATGTGACTGTTTATAAGCAACTGTCTAGCAGAAGGTGCTAAAGGCATTTTAAACAGCATGCTCTCTACTTCACTCCTTATACTTACCAGTACGCTTTAAGTGAAACCAAACATCCTTGAGAGTCCACACCATGTGCTTCAGCTGAAGCAAAAAGGAGAAGATCTTATTGTACTTATTCATGCAGCTCTCAGTAATGACAATGTTCAGAGGCCAGTCAACCTAAAAGAAATAACAGTGCTGATCATACCACATTTTTAGTTAGAAATTACAAGATTATTAAAAATACAAGTATTTCAACAATTTAATGTATGTATTTAA